TAAGAGGGAACGTTCAAAATTTTTTCGCACTCATTTAACCACTTGTAGAGAAATGTTGGTTAGGCTAATTTTAATTTTTTTTTCGGCATAATAGATAAATAAAAAAGTACTTGTAGCACCAATGGGAGTTTGAATTACCATGAAATCCTTGAAGGCTTATATTGCTCGATTCGTAAATAAAAATCGTAAACGCAGATTCTCCAGGGAGTAATCTCTATAGACAAACTATGTTAGCAAAGCTTCCAAAGAAGAAAAGATTCAAACAAACTTCAAGTTGCACAAGCGAGAATTTACCAAATGTCGTTTTTACGGTATGGTACTCGAGTACCTTGTTAGCCTGCGAACAGACTCCCGGCTTGGAGGGCGCGAAGCAGGGGAAAGGGAAGGGGACAATGTTTCACCCCACAGCATGTGATTCTAAATAACTACAAACCAGTTGAACTCACCTAACTCTTCCAGAGTGATAAACAAAGACTTTATGACATCCCTCTACTCTGCACTCATAATGTCCAAGTGATGCCAGTTCCAACTCGTGGGTTTGCTGAACCAGGCATTCAATATTTTCAGAACCGAAGACATATTCGTCAATGAATGTTTTACAAAGATTTAGCAACCACTCTCCTTGCGTTGCATTACATACAGAACCATCAGGCAAAATGTAGTTTGGTTTGTCTGAAAATAATATTAATTTACAACTCATGATTTAAAATAATGTTAATTTCCTAATTGTACTACTGTTGTATTGTACAAAACAAACAATTTTGTGTCATGTGACTATCAGTTCAATTACTAAAATTATAATAAATATTGGGGAGGGTTAGATAAGGAAACACTAACATTTTTTATCTAGCCTGATAATCTGCATATTTTGGGAGCTAGAAATTGACTGAAAAATAAACATTGGAAAAAAATATAGGAATAATACCATCTGCTTTGGCCATTCCTGACATTTCAGCAAAGGCAGCACAGATATGACCTTCAACCTCGCACTGGTGGAACTCCTTATACTATTGTATTTCTTCTTAGGACCAGCTGATGCATTTGTCTTGCGGGTGCGGTTCATACTAGCTTTGGTGGTTCCAAGCTCACTTCCTGAATCTGATTTATAAAACATTTCAAACTCCATCTACCAAAAAAAAAAAACCAACTAATTATTCGATAAGTAATCCTCACAGTATGATAACACAAAAATGAAAAATCCGAATGCTGGCCTCAACAAGACAGCAACCTTGATGTTTCTACTGACTGCCACTTGATAGAGGGTCAAGCCCCAAGTGAACCTTTGAAGTGGATTCAAACCAAGAGCAAACCATCTAACTGTTTTCTCAAAACCCAGTAACCAATCTATTAAACATGATATAAATGAAAACAATAGTTTGTTTAATATTTTTTCAACTTCAAGGCTGACCAAAAGATCAAGCATTCTACCAAAGCCAATCATTTTGCATGTTTGCCTATTTAGTACCTGGGATATGCTAATGAAATTTGGAAAGAAGTTACTTGCTACAAATATTGCATAGGCCAACAACCTGTGTGAAGCTAAGGGTTTTATCTCTAAGTTAAAATTCTTACTCTTACTTTTGATGCTTGAATAGATACAGACATACCTCATATAAGTTTACTTTAGCATGCCAGTCAGCAAATTCAGGATGAACACCTTCAAGGCGGTCAAATCCATTGTCTCCATCCTGGAATGTTCCAATTACATTCCTCGCTCTCTCTTCAAACAACTGATCTCCATGAAAAGGAATAGGTGTCAAAACCTTCTTTGAATCCCCTTCTCTACAACATGGAACATATTTTTCTTGATTCTTAATTAATAGCTGTGCAATATCACCTGCTACATTTGGATTGAAGAATTCCATACCAAGACAGCACTACAGAAAAGGAATGAAAAATAAAAATACAAAATAATCCAGATAAACTGTTCCAAAAAACATAATTAAACCTTATAGATCAAATTTTATGAAAGTAGTGTTATTTTGTTCTTAATTATTTGTGTGTTAACTAGAGGAACCTTTTGATAACAGTTCTATTAGAACTGATAGGTTATACTGTATAAACATTCGTGTTATTATTATTATTGTTGTTATTATTAGAACAAAACAATGTACTGAACTCTTTTAACAAGACGTTAAAACTGGCTGTAAGTGAATTTTGAAGGTGTATGTTCTGTGTTTTAACTTTATCTTTGGTCTAACTAATTTTGAATCAGTTTGATTTTTATTTGTCATTGTCTCATGTTGATTGTTATAATTCTGAAATAGAGGACAACTACCTAGAATAGGAAAAACAAATTAATTACTATTTCAGACATCTTGGATGCTTCTGAAGAGAATGGATGGGGTATGTGGTTAATAACTACTCTCCTTAAGAACTGGAATTCTTTCAGGTGTTTGGTCACAACACGACTGACTAAAATTGCCCATGACCGTCTTAGTCTTGCCTGAACATCAGGTGTTGGGAGGAGCTCTACCAGCTGTAATTCATCCAGGCTTTTCTGGGGCTTGATGTTGTCTAGCAGGGGATCAATTGCACTGTCGCGTATGGCATACTGGTGTGTCCAGTGGATTGACTGGTTGCCATGCTCTTTTGNACACTTAATTAATTATTGGGTTATCCTATAGCTGCTTTGTAAATCGTCTATAAACCTTTCCAAAACAGAATGTGGAAGATTTCTCGGTATGCAAAGCGGTGAAATCTCTGATGGACAGTTAAGCGCCTCCTCAGAGAGAGATTCCAATCATTCTGCCGCCCAGGGTAGACTTTACTTCGTGCATCCTAACAAAGCGGAATCTTGGGCAGCTGCAAGCAATGATACGGATCAATGGCTCCAAGCTGATCTGGTTGTTCTGCACACAAAAGTGATACGTGTGGCAACACAAGGTAGTAATGGACACCAGAGGGAGTGGGTTACGAAGTACAATCTGCAGTACGGCAACAATACAGGAAGGTTCTACAATTATACAGTCCCAGGACAAAACATTACGAAGGTAGAATTGATTTATCGTGTATCGCGTGATTTCCGTTTAATATAAGCAGGAAAATAATTTTTTTTGATCATCATTAGCAGAGTCTTTGCAATATGCACCACAAATGATATAGAATATCGAGGCCCCCGAGGGGAACGCCTAGAAGAATGGTGCATGAATAAGTGAGAGGTCTATTTTTACATCGTAATAACTGATATTCATAATATAGCCTTTATTAAAGATTTAATTGAAAGGCTGTTATGTTTTATGTTGTTGATTGAAAGGTTTTTCATGGAAACACAGATCAGAATACCATAGTTTATCACGACCTTAACCCACCAATCACTGCGCGTTACATTCGCTTTAAACCAATAGAGTGGCAGAACTGGATATCAATGGGGGTTGAACTGTATGGCTGTGTACAAGGTAAGGCCTGCATGACAATACCCGAGTGGTACCTCTTGAAAAGATCACTTTATACTAGATGATATTTCATTTCCAGTTCAAACACAAGCGCTCGGATATTATTCGCTGTGTGTCATCTCAACGGCGCGAGTTTTGTGGACCAATAACAGGGCGAAGTAAGGCAACGCCAATGAAATCCCCGATAACTTATTCCAGTCATTTGAAAATTGCTCTGCAGGGCATAACTCAATTGACTTATCAGCTTTGGTCATAAGGAATTCCTTTATTCTACACTCTCTTCCTTTCACCGTCACCTGTGATCGCCGAACAACAATCTTGAATAAATTGACGAGAAAAACGACTCAACTTATGGGAATGGGAAAGAAACTTTGTCCTCTCCTGGGATTTTTAGATCTCCCAACAAAAAGATTCAGTGTCAGCTCAATTCTACAGTTTATGAAAGTAACATGTGTCTGTTCAAAAACACAATTTTGTTTCAGATATCTTATTGTCGAATGTAATCCTCAAATGCAGTGAAGTCAGTCAATACCCGACTATCAAAGGTTTCTACTTTCTAAAAATACAATGGTGAGCAGGCTTTAGAAAATAGCACAGTACGACAAAAAAGCT